GGAGAGACGGTGCTGAAAACATGTATAGGTGGTTAAAGGAGAGTGTTGAGTCTTACTAGGGTGGGAGTAGAGGGTAAAAATCAACAATGTGAAACCACTACCAAATGTATTACCACCAACCACCAGGTAATACTGTAAAACCTTTGACATCCACAACTGGAGATGAAGGGTCTGGGAAACCAAGTTAAAATACACTTAACTGCCTGTATGCAGTCCTCCCAGGGAATTTATTTTCTTCTGTTCAAAATGTTTTAGTTTTTTGTTGTCAACAAATAATTGTCAAAATATTGTCGTACACTTCTCATGGTGCAGTGTACAGTTCTTATTAAAGGAATAATAAGAACATGAGCAATGTTATGAATAAGAGGAGATCGGTTGGCTCATCTGGACCATTTTGCACTTAGTAGCTAATTGATCCCAGGATCTTTAATCCAAGGATCTTGAAAGAAATCGAATTATTGGCTTTGACAACTTGGCGGAATAGCTAATTCGATACACAGCATTTTGTGTAAAGAAGTGCCTCCTGTTCTCAATTTTAATAACACTAATATAAATTTTTTACTTATGTTTCATGATTCAATTTTGAATTGAAGGAGTCCACCGGATTGACTTCACCAATGCCTTTGAGGATGTTGCATAATTTAATCAAGTGCTTTTCCGTTTATGCCTAAAATGGTTTAGTTCTTTTAGCCTGTCAGTGTACTGTAGGTCAGTTCTTTAAGCCCTAAGTGTAGTTGGGTTTTCTTCTCTGAACTAATTCCAGCAATATCTTTTTCGAAATGTGTCCAAAATTGAGGACAGTGTTCTGAATGAGGTTTTAATAGTGCATTGCACAGTGTTAACATTGCATCCTTTGGTTGCATCTGAGTTTGATGCTGCATCACTGCCATGGATGAAAGAGGGACATCGCGAATACAGCTATCGTTTAGGAGGATTTGCTGGTCTACAGAGGTCTGCATGGAGTACTGGCACACAGAAGGACATGATGGAAGGCTTATTACTCCACATTTAGTATAATGTTAGCATGCCCAGAGGGGTTGGGCAGCCAGTCGACCTTGGACCCCTAGAGGTTTTTGGTTTCTCTCCTCCATTGCCTTCTGGCTTTTTCTCTTTTTTCTCGTTGGCTTCTGACTTTTTCTCTTTCTGGATTGTAACGTCATGTATTGTCACACAGCTTTGTTAAGTGCCTTGGGGCAACCTTGTTGTGAAAGGTGCTATATAAAAATAAATTAATTGAATTTGAATTCCACACACAATACCGCTGTAGACACTCACCCCTCAAGTTTCTAGATACAGTTACTCAAAACTGAGTGAGTCTGAAGTAACCCTTTCTTCAATGATATTGCAGCAATCCGGCTTTATTTGCTCTAGCTGTGTCTCTACATGAGGAAGGATGGTGTGGGAGCACCATTACAGAGAGTTTATTGTCCTTTAATGGTTAACAGGTGTGTGTACTAATCACAGAGGGAAGAGGGGAGTAGACAGCAAGATAGAGAATGTGCTGTTGCATAGGTTAGCAGTACAGTTTAAAAGAAAAAGATAATGTCCCCATTTACATAGGGAGAAAAAATTGAAATAATGATGAACGAAGAAAACATTTTAAAACCCTATAATCAGTATAAATTCTAATTATATCACACACTTAAAATCTATAAAATGCAGTAAATAAATTAGAAATACCCTTTAACAAATGTATTAAAATTACTCAAATTATAATGCTAAATTGTACTGTTCACTAAACACAAAATGAAACAGTGAATAATACAATCACCTGGGTACTTCTCTGACATGATTACAGTGTGAAATACTTGTAATTTTCAATGAAAAAGTTTGAGATAATACTCAAAAGTGACCACATACAGTATGTGAGAAAGCACACAGGCTCTATATCTTAACATTCTACACTATGTACGTTGTTATTAATTATCCACCATATGGATTGTACTGTAGATTGTACGTACTGTACTGTATATAGACAAAGATTATATATGGTCAATATGGTCATTTTCAGATAAGTTCTGGAATCCATCTGTCACTTTGCACTCTCAGGACACATGAACAGGGCTAAATACCTCCTATCCTTGTGTTATGTTCGCACAATCTGTAATTATATGGTAAATAACAATTGTATAATTTATTGTATCGTAACCTTAACCTAATCCCTATAAACACTTGTCCTTCTAGTATTCTTTCCCTCTTAACCAGCTCACGGATAAAGCATTTCATTGCTGACAACACCGCTGTATGCTGTTTTGTTCGTGCACTGATAAATAAACCTTGATTGATTGATAGATAATGGAACAGAGATCTCAGGGATACATCAAAATTGTAACCTACAGCACCACTTTTTGGACTAGTACTATATTAAATTTACTAAATTCTACTAATGTACTACTACTTAATTTGCCACTACTAAAAGCATTACAGCAGGTATTTTAACAAATTCTGATGGTGGTCAAACAGCTGGTGTTTACCTAATGCATTCCATCATTTACTTAGTTCAGCATAAATAAAGTACACATAATGATTTTTGTAAAAAAATTACTTGCCAGTCATTGCTTTTTAGTATGTTTAAAATAAACACCAGTCACAACAATAGGAATACATCATGAATGCAATTGTGTTGGATATTTTTTAGAATTGTATAGTTCTTCATGGGGAAGCATGGTAATGCAGTCGTTAGCACTGCTGCCTTGCGAAAGTGGGGCCTGGGGATTACGTTCCAGACTGTGTGTGGAGTTTGTATGTTCTCCCTGAGTTCACATAGTTTGTTGCCTGGAGTTCCAGTTTCCTCCCACAGTCCAAAGACATACTGGTACTGTAGGTTAATTGGCTTCTCAGAAAATTGTCCCTGTACATGTTGAGTACAGTAATTTAACTAGTCAGGAACAAATAAGTCTTGCTGTAGATTGTTCAACAAGAATATCACATTTCTTGGACTCAAAATGATAAAGTTGCCGTCTTATGCAAATTCAGTTTTTTTTTTGCTTTAAATTATTAAACTAGTGAGATTTGTAAATTGTTCTTACATTTACATCAGTTTGGGATCTGCAAGCTCAAAAAACTCACAGACTGCCGTGCATTCAGTTATTACAATGCAAGAACAAAGAACATTGTCTTCCTGATTAGAGGTAAAGGCACTGTTGTGTAATTGCAGTTCAATTAATTGATTATTTTAAGGTTTGATGTCT